AAGGTCTGGCTACAACTGCCTCCATTGTTCGTGTTGATGATGATGGACAACAGGCGATTGACTATAAATCAAATAGCCAATGCTATTAGCATATACCATGAGTAAGCTGAGAATATTCTTCACAATGAACATTGCATAACGAAGGTTTCTGTTCGGCGGGGGGGCCGCTTCTGAGCCCTGATCACATGCCCACCAGGTTGATAACATCACGGGAATATCTAACATTATCTGAGGCAGATCCATCTAGCTTTCACCAAGTATGAGTGTTGGGTTCGTCCCTTTGAGCCAGAGACAAAGAGACAATCCATACAGTGGAACCCCACTCACCTGCTCTAAAGGCACTCGACTTTTTAAACTTTTTAAGCATAGCTAATTCTGGCAGAAGGCTAAATGAGTCGGTATTTAGAAAGGGGAAATATATTAGAATAATCCACAATATATAGTAAGGAGGGCAAACTCCACGAATGCGAATAGAAAATCGGGTGTCAGACGAGGATGTGTCTTATCAGCGGATTTATTTAACCTGTACAGCGAGGTGATTTATTATTAGTCGGCACAAGTGCTAAAAATATAAGTCCCGCAGATGACATGTTGATGACAGACACAAAAGGAGAGCTGCAGAAACTCATAGGATACTGAGAATACCATCGGCGGAACATGATAACAACGGGGACATTTTAAGGAAAATGGCAACAAAATGGACAACATTTAGAATCAGAAAGTGACACTTGAAATTTCTGCGACATATACTCAGGCAAGAGGACATGGATCAGGCTTCATCTTCATTTGTCGACTTTAGTCAAGATCATCGAACCAACGCGAACGATCCTTTCCTCAATTGTATATAGTTTTAAATTCAGAGTTACTTTCTCCTAGACCAGTTACCACCCAAGGCTATAAAGCCCAGTCTTGTCCTACTATTTACCCATAGCTGGGTAGAGAAGAAAAGGATACATGCCTTTCCCAAGGCTATTAGCACATAAGTGAATGTGATGGATCCGACTGAAATTCGAACTTGGTTCTCTGATTCCTCAATCTGAGCCATTATCCATTATTCCACTGTACCTCTTTAAAATGGTGTACTGTTGCCTTATTTGGGCGGGAGCTGTTTAGTTCTCGCTTTCCAGTCTTGATAGAGTTCAAAAGCATCTACGAGTCTTTGTTGGAGAAGAATTATTTTCTACTCTTCAACCTCTCTCTTACAAGAAGGATGTGGCAAGCCTATCATTACTATATCGCTACTTTCACGGAAAGTGCTCGGACGAACTACATACCTTGGTTCCGCCAAGTTTAACCTTCACGGCCTAGATCAGTTATGTTACTTACATTGTAGAAAATCTCCCACATTCCCTCCGTATTCCATCGGCAAGAAGTAAGTTCCACTCGAATAGCTTCCCTTCAGCTTTCATCTGTTGTGTATCGATCTAGGTAACCTATAGGGAATTCTAAACTGAATCCGTTATTTAATTTGGGGGGGGGTAGACTCTTCCACATCCACTGCTCATGTATAGGGATATCCTCTATTCTCAATTTTAGTACTGCTCAGTTATTGCTATATTCTTATATTCTGTTCGTTCATCATACGTTAAATTATATAATTTTAAAGAAATATAGTCTTAAGATGTGCTATATTTATGGGATAAAGTGCTCAATATCAGAGATAGTGTGTGTGTAAATATAAATGGGAACATAGAAGTCAACACTTAGAGGCGACAGTCTGTTTCATGCTTGATGCAATCGTCAGTCCAGGAGTGCTGTTATTTTTCTCGGCTATTTATATGTACGGGTCCCGTGGTGCATTGTGGGTAGTCTATTTTGGCGGTTATTTTACCGGAAGTCGTTGATTCGTTTATTTATTTGGGTTAAATTATTTTGCTTGTTTTTATTTTTATTTCTTATCATATATATTTATTTATTCATTTATTTATTTTTATTTTGAAACAGACTGTCGCCTCTAAGTGTTGATTTCTATGTTCACATTTATATATACATATATATATATTATAAATTAACTAATTTATAACTGTATTTGGTCATATAACGTCGACAACTTTGCTTTGATTTTGTTGAGTATAATTTTGTTTCCAGTTGTGTGAACTTGTTTTATTTTTGGTTTAAATTTTTGAATTTTGAACTTATTTTTTCTGTTTGAAAGTTTAATTTATTTTTTCATTTTTTGTAGTATATTGTATTTCTTTTAATTTTTTTGTCCCCTCCCTCGTGGAGAGACGCTGAACTGATTTTTCTGCCTTGAAAGTATATTTATTTTATTTCTGCAGTAAATTTTATTTCTTTTAAAATTTTCTTTTGCCCCTTCCCTGTAAAAAAAGACATTTTTATGCCGGACTTAGAATATTTTATTATATATTGTTGTGTTTCTTATTTTTTGCTTTGCTTTTGCATTTTCTTTTAAAAATTTTTGCCCCTTCCTTTTTGAATTTTTTAGGGTGAAAAACAAACGCTTTATTCTGAAGCTTTAGAATGGAATTTTAAAGATGGCCGACGTGGGTCGGACCATCGTTAGAAAAGATTCATTTTGTTGCACTGCCAGACAAAAATAACCACTCCCCTCCCCCAACAAACCAGGCAAAAAAGGGGAAAAACAGGAAAATTCATCTTCCAAGAGTGGCTCCTATACATCTTCGTGGTAGAAGAGGAGAAAAAAGGCAACGAAGAAGAAAAAGAAATTAGCAGTGACAACATTGCGGCTTCGACAATCGGGTAAGCCAGTGTAGCGGCTGGAGAAGTTCCCTCTGTATGGAGTTCCCCACCGAAGTGCAGAGTCGATGTTATAGAATTTGTAGAGCGAGCCAAGCAATTCCACTGACATGGTAACCGATGATGGACTTTTGGTCGACCTCGATGTGTGGAAGCGGATTGTGAAGAGGACAGTGTCAGTTTTTGTGATCGACAAGCAGACGCGCAAGATTAATGTAATAAAGTAATGAAGTCGCTGACGTCCTCGGAAGGGCGGGGGTGGTGTGTAAAACCCAAAAGATTGTAAAAGGTTCGGGTTTTATAATGTATATAACTCTTGCCCACACCGAAAGACTTGTGCCGACGCGACGTTCCGGGATCTAATCACAAGCGACCACATCATTCGGACGGACAC